CCTGTCTCCCCCCTCCCCCCCCCAGCCTTCCTGCCCCGGTCGGACTCCCCCCACTTCCTGGAGCCCCCCCTCTACCTACAGATCCGGCCCGGCATCCAGAAGAAAGAGGACTCGACCTGTGACGGTGGTGCAGGCGGTAGCGTGTTGCCCTCAGACGGCCAGCCCCGAACGTTCGAACACCGCAACTTTAAGAACAAGATGCTGGAAGAGTACTGGTTCGTCGTACCCCGGAACACGTGAGTGCTGCTTTGTTTGTTGGTTAGTTAGTTTGTTGAGCTGTTTGTTTGTTTGTTGAGCTGTTTGTTTGTTTGTTTGTCGATCTGTTTGTTTGTTTGTTTGATTGATTGTTTGTTTGTTCGTTATTTCGTGTGTTTGTTTGATTGTTTGTTTGTTTGTTTATTGATCTGTTTGTTTGTTTGTTTGTTTTTGTTGTTTGTTTGTTTGATTGTTTGTTTTAGTAAAGAGAAGCACATGGTCAGAAGAATTGTTTTTTAGTGCTGGGAAAAAGTAAGACAGACAGACAGACACAAAAAACAGAGGGGAAGTAAAGAAGTAGAACCTACCAGTGGCGCCCTCCAACCACCCGCACACGTGAGTACAATACTGTTTCTCGGACACCTAAGTAGACTTTCTAGTTATAGACATTGAACATGTAGCTCTCGCTGGTAAAATTGAAGGCAAACGAGGTAAATTTGGTCAAATTCGAATTTTAAGTGGTACGGAAGTTTTAGGCAGCCAAAGTGACGAACTTTCACAAATGTAATATAAAAGGGATAGAGATAGAGATATAGGTTCAGATAAGGAGATTGTGCAGGACGTCCAACTGTGTAAGACGACCAGATTTCTTTCCAAACACTGCGTCATTTGTCTCTTCCTAATTGTTGTTATCAGTGGGAGGTGAGGGAGGGGAAGGTTCCTCAAATACCACCTCATTTGATTTCTTCTTGTCCTTCCTAAAGTTCCCAACAGTGTCCCCAGAGTCCACATGTATTTTCTTGCTTCTAAATTGTAGGTATTTTATTTTACAGGGTTTGGATCATTTAGAAGGGGGGCTACTTTCTCTGAGGAAGAGATAGATCGATGGAGAGTGCCATCATCATCATCATCATCATCATCAT